CCAATTTTGGCCGTTTGTCCCAGCATCTTCACGCTACTTAATTCCAGAGGTAAGGACAAGGAATTTCAACTATCCCTGGTTGCTCTCACCATGGCTGAATCTTCGAACTTGTCTTCTTCGGCATCATCTCGAGAGGGACGATGAACAATACCCGTAAATCAAATCTTTCAATTTTACTCCGCACTCCCATTCCGGAAATGGCCACAAAAAGGCCCAAATAACAAATATGATAGCCCATTTAATTAATACAGTCTAATATTTTTTACGATTTGACGACATTTTTATAGTTTAAGCCAAATTCATGACTTCTGCTAAATGAGCAATAATGTATTTTTAATGAGCATCATATCTATTTTATTGAGTATTTAAGAGACTAACAATGAGTATCACGATCCCGGCTTCATATGTTCTAATTCTTTTTTCTTTTTCTTATTTTTTCTTTTATAAAAACTTATTAAATTATATCTTTAATATATTCCTATTAATTTCAATATGTGACTTTAATGTAATAAGATACTTTTGAAATATACATTAATATAACATTTTTAAAAAAGAGCATAACATCAATGCCAAATGAGCATCTATAACTTACAAAGTGCACATTGATATTAAAGTCGTAATGTTTGTTAGTTGAACATCACGACATTTTAATTGAGCATCAAACCTCCGCTATTGACATGAAAATTACGGTTACTGGTGAATGAGCATTAATGAACTTTTAATGAGCATCAGACATATTATGTTGAGTATTAGGAGTCTAATATTCAGAATCGTGATCTTTGTTTCATAACTTCTAATTCACTTTCTTTTTGTTATTTTTTCTTTTATAAAAACTTATTAAATTATATTTATAATCAACTCCTATGAATTGAATATGTGAACCTACTGCGAAATAGAATAGTACTTTTAAAAAATGCATTGATATGACATTTAGAAAATGAGTATAAGATGAGTACCAATGAGCATAGTAACTTACAAAATGCGCATTTCGGTGGCATTTTTTTAATTTAAGCGAAAATCACAGCTCTCGCTAAATGAGCAATATTGTACTTTTAGTGAGCATCTGACCTATTTTATTGAGCATAAGTAACTTACAAAATGCGCATTGATATGAAAGTCATAAGGTTTGTTAGTTGAACATCATAACATTTTCGTTAAGCATCAAACGTCCTAGATTGAGATCGAAAGAAATCATAATTTCTGTTAAATGAGCATTAATGAACTTTTAATGAGTATCAGACCTATTCTATTGAGATTAGGATTCCAATATTAAGCATCATGAATTCCGCTTCATAACTTTTGATTCACTTTCTGTTTGATTTTTTCTCTTATAAAAACTTGTTAAATTATACCTATAATCAAGTTTATTAATTTAAATATGTGAATCTAACATAATGTATATGCCAATTTAAAGTGAGCATACGATCACTACCGAATGAGTATACACAATTTACCAAATGAGCATCGAAAAATTCAAAAGCTCACTTCAAATCTCCAATGTTCTCAAATGTTCATTAATGTTACATCAATGCACATTTACTTTAAATGGTATACTCATTCTCGTATAACACAAAATTCATTTTAGAAGCCTCAAATGAATATGCGAATCTAACAGTATACTCATTCTCAAGCCTCAAATGAATATAACACAAAACTCATTCTCGTATACTCATTATATTTTAGAGCATTATTATATCAATTCACATTTCCCGTAAACATTATACTCATTTGAGTATAAGATAAACTCATTCACAAGTATATCATTTGCAAATAGCCTTAATATGATTAACTCTTTTACTCAATTATGAGTATAATTTATAATGATAAATATTAAGAAAACTTATTTATAGTTAGTAGTTTTTATACAAATGCATCAAACAATGAAATAATTCATCAAGATAAGAATGAACATTCACTTTGGAATTTTATCAAACACTTGATGGGCATTCAATATTTGGAAATAATTTTAAAAATCTGGAGTATTACTAATGAAAGAGGGATAGATATTTTAATCAAATTATCATCCCATGTATAAGTTAAAAAAAAAAGAAGAAGGAAAGGAGAAGAATGGATAAGACAGAAAAAAAAAACATGATCTTTCAATTTTCGGTTCACATCCTCTCAACAATGAAACATCTGATTAGCAAAGTTGCACTTTATTTCTGGTAGTTTCAGACCATAGACGGTGGCTTTCAAGAGAAAAAGAAAGTCAGAATAATGTGCTCTTTAAATATTTGATCGGGACAAGCTATCACTTTTCAATTGCCTCTGAAATAAAAATGAAGGGAAAGAGAGAACGGATCGGAAAAGTAGAACTAACGAATGAAGCAGAGACTCAGGGAGAAGAGCAGGGACTCAGGGAGCATCGGAAGAAGAGCTAGCGTGCAGGGGTTAAAAGGTTCTATGATATCAGCCTCAAACTTGCAAAGAATTTCAAAAAAACCGGTACCGTATAATTTGCGGCCTGGGGAAGCTAGATATAGAAATGAAAGGTAAATAAAAAACGAAAGAAAAATATGGAGTAAGAAAAAGAAGAATTGGCACCTCAGAGCTAGGGTTGTAAACGAATCGAACCGAATACTTGATAATATTATTCGTATTCGTATAATTATCGAATATTCATATTCGTATTCGTTTAAAATTCGAATCTTATTTTGTATTCGTATTTGATTCATTTGATATATTCGAATCTTTTTTCGAATCGAATTCGAATATTCGAATTCAAAAAACATTAAAGTTAATTTGTGAAAATAATTAAAATTATGATGTTAGTTTGCCCCTTTTAACTCATTTTCATACTCCGTATTACATATTTTATAGGAAACAAAATTCATTTATAGAAGTCACTTCAAATTTAATATCAATGTAGATAAATCAACGGAGAATTTTAATTGTAAATTAAGCTATTTTGACCTGGTAAAGTAAGAATGTTTAAATTAAAATATGCAAAATATATTTACATGAATATTTTGTTATTAATATTTTTACATTGAACTATATGTATTCATGAGAAGTAGTATATATATATATATATATATATATATATATATATATATATATATATATATATAATTCGAATATTATTCGAATCGAATATCATAGTATTTGTATTCGTATTCGTAAAGTATTCGAATCGAAAATAGATTTGTATTCGTATTCGTATTCTACTTACTCGAATTCGAATCGGCATTTTCGAATTCGAATCACGAATTGAATCAAAATTATTCGATTCGTTTACAACCCTACTCAGAGCACGAAGAGCATGCGAGAAAGAAAAAAAAGGATAAAAGAAAAAAACAAATAAGCAAATGACCAGTAAAAAGCGGTCATCTTCCTGTAAATAGGCTTATGTGACTGATTTTAGGTTTATGTGACTGATTTTATAGAGTACAAGTGATTATGTAATGCTACATGAATTTAAGTTACTCATTGACAATAGTAGATGGGTCTATTAGATTCTTTTCTCTAATATACGTATTATAAAATAATCATAAAAGATTGGGTCAAAACTACCTGATAGGAGCCTCTATTTGAGATGTTTCTGGGTAGAAGTTTCTTATAAAATTTTGTGATCATGTTTTTCATGAATTATATTGATTATGTTTACCAATCGAATTGTAGTTTAAAATTTCAACCGAGAAGATAATTAAATAAATATAATTATGAAAAAACACTGCACTTTTGGTATATATTTTGGCGCAATTTTTTCCAATAATTTATTTAGTTAATTTTTCGATTAAATTTTAAACTGTAATTCAATGTAAATAATGTACACATCTTGAAGAACATTCTCACAAAATTTTATCAACAAACCCGCCGGAAAACACCTCAAACATAGACAGCTAGATAGCGGATCCTGTCGGTTAATTAGTTTTGACAAAATCATTCCTCATTAAAAAATTACATATACATAGTACGAAGTATTTGACTAAAAATAGGACGGAATTGCATTATTTTTCAAATACGGGAAGATCATCTTATTTAGGATGTTTTTACTTGGACTGTAATTTGACCCAGACCAGACCAGTCCAGACTAGACCAGACCAGTTCAGACCAGACCAGACCAGACTTGGATAGTTATAAAAATACAAAGAAACCAGACCTTACTAGACCAGACCAGATCAGACCAGACCAGACCAGACCAGACCAGCAAATTACAGTCCAAGTAAAAACATCCTTAGTCCTATTAAAAATAATTTGTTAAAGTTTTTCAAAATATAGGAGTGAATAAATTCTATTTTGAGAATCATATTTATGAACTTTATTGTTGTTTTTGTTGGAAAATGGTTTTATAAATTAATATTATAGTTATTAATATTATTCGGGTCTTTGACGAGTCAATAATCGGGCTTAAGATAGGAAGATTTATTTTTGCTACTTTTTTCGGATAAAACCAAATAAAAGACATACACAACTAGTCGTTTTAAAAGAAAGGTCATGAACTTTCTTTTAAAAGGTGTCTTAGCTTTTGGGTTAGAGACTCCTGGCAGAGCTCTATAAATATTCGTCTTGTCTTCGATTTTGAATGATCCGAAAATCATCACACAATCCTCCATATTAATTCTCTCTTCAATTCCTTCGTTGCATCTTTGAGTTCGTCGGAATCCCGTTGGGAGCGAAGAACCGTTCTATCCTGGGAGACGCTTGCTACGTGTGTCGGGCAAAAACGTCTTAAGGAAACAACGTTTACGTTGAGCTCGGTTACAAGTAATTATTTATTTATTATTTCATTTGCATGCAGAATATTTGTGTTCGGGCCTCGATCTACGTACAAGGTAACAAAATATTGGCTCCACCCCTGGTCATATGGTACAAGAATAATTTTTAGCGTTTTGAGTTTGTGTGTTAATTACTTAGGCGTAAGGTAGAGGAAAAAATAAACGATTTTGTAGAAGCTAAGTGATTCTAAAGAAAACTTGTGGATCAGATATGGTACGTAGATTGCAGCATATATCCATGCATACGCAATATCATTGCCCGGCTAGCTACTTATTATTATTAGCTATAAATAAATACGTTCGATCGTTCCATAAATATATACTTCGTACTACGAACGTATAATATGTCAACAAAGGCGGTGAGTGGGAACGGCGGCGAAAGAGTCCGGCCACATTACCAGTGGCACAAAGTTCTAACCATTCATCTTCCTGGTTTGTCCATCTGTTACATACTAGCTAGCTACCTCCATGCATTTACGTACTCTGTATTACCTATATATACACCTGCTATCTATATACAGGGATGAGTTTAAGGGGCGCGACCGCCTCCCTTAGATTTTCAAAATTTTCTATTATATACTACGTATGTAATATTTTCATAAAATTTCATATTTTAGTTAGATATATATGTTTTCGCCCCCCTTGACTTCTTTGTTTTGGAATTAATATATAATCTTACGTAATATAATACTTACTTTTAGATTTAAAAGAAGAAACATCTAAAATAATTTACCTAACTCAAACAAATAAACAATGGAAACAACTCATTATTTAAAACTTAGCATACTTATTATATAAAAATTCCTAGTTTGTAATGTTTAATTATCTTATTTTAGCATTGAGAAAATGGAAACTAATAATCTAACCTTTTAGCGGTCTTCTTTCAATAATCCCACCTTTTGATTATTCATGAATAATTCAACCTTTGCACCCCATCTTCATTCGTTGGTCCCTAATCGGTTAATGATCTGTTATTCCAAGTTATTTTCTTATCTTTGCAAAATATTATCTTTGTGAAAGATGAGATTTATGGTATAATGATTTGCAAAGATAAGAACATAGCTTGGAATAGCAGGTCATCAACCGGTCAGGGACCAGTGAATGAAGATGAGGTGCAAAGGTTGGATTATTCATGAATAATCAAAAAGTTGGATTATTGAAAGAAGACCGCTAAAAGGTTGGATTATTAGTTTCCATTTTCCCTTAATACAAATTACAAATATAATATGAACCATATATATATGGATTAGTATCATAATATTATTCTAAAAACTGGCATCTCAGACATATACTATTGTAATTCAAAAATCAAATCTTTATTGCGATAATATTCATGTGGTTAAACAAGACAACAATTATTTAAAAAGTATTAATAGATATGCACCTTTTAAATTTTTTTTTCAAATAATTTGATAATTAAACTGTTATATATCCTTTTTATTTTCAAAAAAATTTCCTTTGGTTTACCATTTCTTATGCTTTAATGTATCAATATTTTTTCTAGATCGATCATTTCAATTACAAAAATCAAAGTTATTTTTCTATTGTCTAAACTTGAAATGTAGTAGATTTAGTTATCGTAGTGTATGTGTGTCAAAGGAACTTTTTTGAATAAAAAATAGCCGTAGAGTCCTATACAAGAGAAAAAAATTGCCCCACTACACTAGCAAAAAAGAAAAAACGCCCCGCTACGCTTGCGAAAAAATTCGCTCGCTACACTAGCAGAAAAATTTCGCCCCCCTTGACTCGAAATCCTGAATCCGTCCCTGGCTATATATATATATTCTGGTAATCTTTGCCGGCCTCCCATATATACCCATTCTATCTGTTTGGTAACACTCATATTGGTTGCAGGGACGAAGCCACCTTATAGCTTGTGGTGTCAATTGACACCACTGAAAAAAATAAATTCCATATATAGGTATGCATAAATTTTTTAAAAATTAAAATTTGACACCACTAAAAAAATCAAATTCACATATAGGTATATATAATCTTTCAAAATTTAAAAATTGACACCACCATTTAAAAACTAATGGGATCAATTATATATTTTAAAAGATGGAGCACTCACTTTAAAAATGAAAAGACGAAGCAAAATGAAAAGTTTGGGCCATTGACTACTCCACATGCCTCCACGTCAATATAGACTGAATGATTAAAAGATGTAAAATCTAGAACCTAAAATTTCATGAACTTTAATATTTTGTATTATAGAAAATTAAAAAAATACTTAATTTTATTAGACTAATAAACTTTTGTAAAGAAAAAATCATCAAACGTTAACAATGGAATTAATAAAAAAATTAAATAAATTGAAAGATATGATATTAAAGATCTTAAAATGATTATTTTCAATCATTCAAATCCTATATCGACACACTTTATCTTTCAAGTCATTTATTGACAATGAACATATTTTTCAAGTTTTAAAATTAATACAATTCCTTTAACAGTACACCGATGCCTAGTAATAAATTAAAATAACTTTGATTTTACCGGTGTGGACCGCAAGTGCGGATAGAGCTTTTTCAGCCATGAAGGTTATGAAACATAGCTCAACCGAAGGTGGAAGCTTTGATGAACGATTTTTTAGTTACTTTTATTGAAAAAGATATATTCAAAAGTTTTGACAAAGACAGAACTGAAGTTCTAAACGGCTTATGGTTTGTGAAGTGAGCAATTTATTTGACACATTTCCCTCTCCAATCACAGCAAAGTGTTATAAAATCTTACTTTCTCTTCAAAAAAAAATCGTGACAAAGAAAAAATTATACAACATTATTAAAATTTTAAAACGTGTAGTTAAAAGTTGTGAATTAGCACTTTGCTTGATTTTATAGATGAAAATGTTTGCTATTTTGCTTTATATATTTACACATTATTCTACAGTGTACAACATTATATTACTCTATTGACACCACTGAGGCTAAATGTTGGCTCCGTCCCTGATTGGTTGAATCGCCTCATAATGCTGAAATTTATGTAGTCCAAAATTTTGGTTAAAGTGACTGATTCTGCTGATTTATAATAAAAATATTTCAAATATATTTTAAAAATAAAATACAGAAATAATATATGAAAAAACAGGTTAAGTGGTCCTCTACAGTTAACTTCAACCAATCCAGCCAGAAAAGTAACCCCAACCATTTTGTTAGTAATATACGGTACGTGAATAATACAATAATACGTACGTTCGTGTATAATACGATACAATTATATAAAATACGGCTTAATATATGTTTCATACGTTCGTGAAATATATAAAGATACGGACGCGTTTTAAACGTTTCACAATTTAAAAATACGGCATATAATACATGTCTTATATACGAAGTACTTATTTAATGATAGAAATAAAGAGTTATTTAACATTTGCACCCCAATCTTCAACAATTTAAAATGTACGGAATAGTTTTTTTTTTCAGATTTACGTATTTAAATGCATAGATACAATACGTAATAAAAATGACATTGCTTATTTAAGTAGAAGTGGAGAGATATTACTAGAAAATAGTTGATATTACTTTGACCATTAGTTTAGTGAGCCGCCACAACGTTTTTCAATCTCTTTGGAGCAGGGGCGGATCCAGGAATGAGGGATGGGGTGGGCTAAGCAGTAAAAATTTTCGTTATTGCATACAAAAGGTTTAGTTTAGGACTGATAGTTATTGAACTGAGTTTTTTTTCAAACTACTCGAGTTCGATCGTGATTTTGAATTTAATTTAATAACCAAAGCTTAACGAGCTTCAATCTCGAACACGGGCTAAATTTAGCTTAAATAGTTTGTTTTTACAAAAAAAGCGGCCGTTATTTTTTTGAGTTTGAATAGTTATTCAAGCTGAATTCGAGCATAGTCATGTTCAGTTCGATCTGGACTCGAGCATATTCATAACTTATAAATTATAGAAATAAACTATATACTACCTCCGACTTTTATTAAGACTAATTTGACTTTTCAAGTCAAAGAAGTTAAACTCTGAATGACTATATATTTATACAATAAAATTGATAATATGAAAATGAAATGAAAATGTTCTTTGTTAAAAAGTTTATCATAAAAGTATAAATTTAGTAAGTTTCACATTAATACATGAGTTAAAATGATGGATCAAAGTTTACCATCTTTGAGTAAAGAGTCAAAGATGGCTAAATAAAATGAGACAGAGGTAGCATATCTAAAATTGAAACGTTTTTAGTGTGATTTATAATTTTATTTTTGATTATTAAAGATTTTAGTATTTATTGATATGAATTAAAATACTTCTATAAAAATATAAAACTAATAAATAAAAATAGTCTATGTACATAAAACTTATAAGTATTCCCAATTTTAAAATTGAATTGAGATTTTGAATCCATTCTTACATGCCTAAACAGTAAATACATCGTTCTTTATTCTTTAATTGCATTATAAATAAATCATTTTCTAATCTTTAAGTTTATCTTTAATCATTATAAATTTATAATAATAAATAAAAACTGTTTTAGTATCTACTGAAAAATTCAATTAATAATCAAATAGAATTACAAAGTTGGTAGGCTTGGGATGGGCTAGACATTAGTTTTGAGGTGGGCTGGAAATTAAACCTATACCTATAATAATAAAAATAAATTGGGCTGCGCTGGGCTGGAGCCCACCCCTGCCCCAACATAGATCCGCCCATGCTTTGGAGTCTTGTTATATGGGTGGAGAACAAAAGTAATACAGTAGTAGTACAATAGAAATATCGAAACAGATTACGAATTTAAGAAGATAATTCATTAAATGTAATGACCGTTAAACAATTAGCGAACATATAAGGCATAACGTTTTTTAAGCAATATAAATAATATTGATTAGCTTGACATGCATTTTGTTTCAGTTGTATCACTCCATTAGGCTTCCGTTTAATGTGTGTTTTTCAATAAAATACGTATCAATACGTACAGTACGTGTATTATACATTTTATTCTTAAAGCACGTGAGTTTTTCAGAATTTTCTGAAAAATTCATAAACAGGAGTATTATACGTAATAAAATACGTATCAATACGTACGGTACGTGTATTATACACTTTATCCTTAAAGTACGTGAATTTTTCAAAAAATTTTGAAAAATTCATAAACGGGAGTATTATACGTGAATTGTACGTTCGAGTGTATTATACGCGAATTATACGCGAATAAACTAACTAGGCTAGTCAACCTTACTTATTTTTATTATTACCCAAATCAGCACACGAAATAAAAACTTACATTTTTATGGAAAATTTGGCTAATAAGGATGATAAGCCGAAAAATAGAGTAACCAAATCAACCCTTAATTTCTACAAATTAAAGGGCCGGGTACGTGTCTCTTTTCGCAGAAATCTTCAAATCTAACAAAAATCTATGCATGATATATAGGGCTAGAAGCAGGGGCGGAACTACGTTAGTGCCCGGAGGTGCTTGTGCCCCTGCAGATTTTTATTTATTTATTATAAATATAATATGTATATATATTACTCCCATATCATGAGCCCGTTGTGCCCCTGCAACTGTGCCTTCTTGGCACATCTGGCCCATCTACGGAACTTCCACAGCTCTGGCAGCCCAAGTGTGCTGCTAGCCTACTAGTGCTAATTGCTCAACACTATTTCCCAAAAAGGGAGCATGATGGGAATTAAACCCAGTACCATGCGTGCAACAACATAGCGAATGGACCATTGGACCAATATGTACAGTGGTTATTATGACTCCTTTATTCTCCATATAATTTATAATTGACTACAAATAGAGTTTGTGCTAGTTTAGTAGTTTGACTCGTATCACTTTGTTTTCTTTTTATTCACAAGTATAAGTTGTTTCCTTAAAGATATACGATCGTAATACGTAATATATATTACTTCTTCTTTTTTAGTTACAAAATATAATAAGAATTTTAAATTGAGAAATACAATTAAAAAGATAAAAACTCCATCCAAATTCTAATCAAAATTAAGGTACTCTTTATTTACTTGTTTTATTCAAATTTTATTATTTTGTTTATTAATATATTCGTCATGTATGATATCCTTCTGTTTCCTTTTAGTTGTAACATTGAAAATTTAGGGGTTCCATCCTAAAAGGTCTACCTGATAGGAGGAGTGACCCGTGTGTTAAAATAGCACTTTGTTCATTTATTAATGCATGATATTTGTTTTTTGAAAAATATCGTTAAATTTGTATCATTACAAATTTTCATAATTGATTTTGATTTTTTAGTAATAGCAAATTAAATATAATGACGATAAAACTTGTGCATTGTTGAGCGTTAATCGTTAAAGTAAAAATGTTGCAATTAAAAAAGAATAAAGGTATTATGACTTATGTGTTAATGTGCCCCTCCAAATCACACGTGCTGGTTCCGCCACTGGCTAGAAGATTGACAAAATGCACAAATATATATAACTGTCATTGTTTTCTTCCTAAAACAAGACTGGTGGACTACTAATTGATGAAGTTTTGCTCTTTTAATATGATCAAATAAGTGCTATTTAGGGAATTATAAACATATAGCTCTACTATGCATTTTGATTAATTTTTAGTCCTATTTAGAGCAATTATTATATATTTTGTGTGTGCGTGTAATCCTAGAAATGTACATCCAAAGCTCCTTTGGTACCACTAAAATCGCTTCAATCTGCCGTAATTGATTATATTAAGTCCTGGCTCAAATGGTTGAGTCGGCTGCCTGAATTATGAAAAAATTATATTTTAGAAAAAATTGACAAAAATTATCTCACCTTTGACCAATGTTACATTCTCATAATAATCTCACATTTACGTAATCTCAAAATAATACCGCATTCGCACCCTGTCTTCTTGCATTGGACCCTAACCGGTTGATGACCTACTATACCAAGTTTTTATCTCTTCTTTGGAAACTTTATATAAATAATCTCACATTTCGCAAATTTACTCAAAACAATCCCATGTTTCATTTTTTGTCCTCCCTAAAATTTTTCTTTATTTTTATCCCTACATACGTTTTAATTCATTTTTTCTTTTTTTTTATTCTGATTTCTTTTCCATGTTTATTATTTTGTATTCTAGTTCTCACTCTATTAAGAGATTTTATTTGTACAACTTCATTCCCAAGTAGATTTTTTGGTCATTTTCTCTTTCTTCCGGTATTTTTATTTCATTTCTCTTCCTTTTAGTCATTCTCTTTTTATTAAAGATCTTTTTCTCACTCTACATTTTGCTATATTTTCCTTTTATTTTCACTTTTCCCCATATTCTTCTTGTTACTTTTTTTATGTTTTTTCTTCTTTCTTTTTTTCTTTTTCTTCTTTTCTTTCTTCTCAAAAAATACATCACCATTAAATTAATTAGATATTAAAAAAACTACTCTATCTGTCTATTTTCATTGACTTAATTCATCAATTAGTGTAGGCAGCGAAATTATCTACATATATAACAATACATGAAAGTTAATTAAATTTCTAGATTTTTTTGTTTAGCACTAATGTGAAAAAAGTTATTGTAAGGTGATGGCATTAATAAAACACCATAGCCCTCCCTTGAATACATACACCCCGCATTAATTAATTACTACTTGGGTTGTGCTTAACTAAAGGCCGGTTTCCTGGTCCGCATGCCGCAGGTTTTACAAAGGACAGTCTAAAGGTGGTTAAAAAGGGGGGGAACAAGTTGGAGATTTGTGGGGAGATGGGTTCGAAAAGGTTCCGGCAAGATTTCACAGTTCCGGGAGGGTGTGACATCCATAAAGTCACAGCCAAGTTCCAAAATGGAGTCCTCACCATTACAATGCCATGTCATGATGATGAAGCAGTGAACAAACCCGGGGGCCGTTCGCCTCCGGAAACAACAACTTCGGGGGAGGAACAAAAGAAGCCAACTACTCATCCATCCCCTGCCGCCGCCAACCCGCATCAAGTGGAGAATACTGATAGAAAGGAGGAGTACGACAAGGCTGAGAAGGAGAAGAACAAGCTGCCAGCAGCTAATCATAGAGGGGAGATTAATAGCAAGGGCCTTCCCGAAAAGAGGCCACCGCAGTTGCTGGTGAATGCTGTCGCTGCTCTGTTTGTTATTATAGCGTTTGGGATTTATGTCTTCCGAACTAGAAGCTAAGCAGCATGCCATGACTCTCTACTGTACGCATGCGGTCTAACTATTAGCTTCTATTACTACTACTATGTCAACTTTCCTCAACTGGCCATCTCAAACAAAATTGTGGTCAATATTATTTTTCTCTGCACAAACATCAACCATAGAGACAGAGAGATAGTAAAATACACCATATCACCCGGACCTAAACAGACAAGACAGTTCAAACTAGTTCAGATTAAACCTAAAAAATTCAGTACAAGTGAAACCATCCCAACTCTTCATGAAAGAACTGACTACCAAATGGAAATTCGTTATAGTGTACCATGTCCACCAATTGATTAGAGGAGCCCAAGCCGATGACCAAATATGAAATCCTGATAAGTAATTGAAACAAAATGTTCTCGTTACAAAAAAAAACACAAAATCACTATAAACAACATTACTGGTATCTTCAAGAATACTACCTAGCTTTCCGTCCTGAAAATAGTCCCAATTCATGACCTTTTGGGTCCCACCATAAAAACCTCGCTTTAAGAGTGCACTTCAATGTTTAAGTAAAAATATCATAAAGTCAACTGACAAGCAGGTTTAATCAATAACCTCCCGTGAAGTTTATCAGAATGTTTAATCAATTACTCCAAACGATCTTGGATATAAGATTTATAGTGATCGGAGAATATCAATAACCTCCCGTGAAGTTTGTCAGAATATCATTTATACCCCTACTATTTCATAAATGCACACTTAAATCCTTGAGGTTAGTACAGGGACTGCCTACCCCCCCCCCCACGGCACCGGGAGTAATGTTATTGTTGTTGTACACTAAAATCCTTGAGGCTTAAAGGAATATAATGAAATCTTCTATAGTCAATTGGTCTCCCGTGACTAATTAAAGTACCAAATTGCCCTCATCCACATTACATATTATGGTGAATGTATAGGAAACGGGGCATGCAAAAAATATAAATATTGACAATAAGAAACAAAATAGGAAAGTTTAAAAATTTGCCATATGTTTTTACTGTCTATGATATGATAGCAAAAACCATCTAAAACGTTAGATGTCTAATCTAAATATAAAACTCAACCATGAACATCATTTAGAATTCGAAATTTCAAGAATAGATGTTCTAAATATACAACACACGAAGAAGTGTCTAAGAGTTTTAGTTGTCAATATTAGGGAAGTTTCCCCAAATAGGAGTAAAAACATTGTGGTTTCCTTAAATAGGTTACTAGGTATACTATATTTTTACCCTAAATAGAAGTAAATTACTACCACCGGAATAATGCTGGCATACCTCAACATTATCAAGCATTGATGTGACATCATTAATGCCATAATAATTGACAATATTTTCCAAACATAACAGTAATTACTCATATTTAAGAGGGAAATAGAACTCTTATTTCGGAAAATCACAGTGTTTAAGTATATTGAATTTATATTTTTTACATGACATGTGATTTTTCTATATTATAACATATTGTTGATGATGGTAATTTGGACTTTAATAAGTCAAGGCCAACCAATGGAGGGGGAAGGTTCTTGGTATTTTTAAAACATCTAAGAGGTAAGTGCCTATTTCTTTAACAGTACGGTATGACATTATGATACCTCAACGGAGGTAAATGACATTTACCGTATGAGATGAGCTAAAAGTCTAAAACATATCCTTTACCGAATGACTTGGAGAGTGTGTGACCATTTATAAATTTTCAAAGCTTGTACTTTGATTGAGGTTCATGAAAAAAAAAAGTGCGCCTTGCTCAAGCATGATTCTTTTGGGAGGGAGTAATAAAATATCACGGTGCATAAAAAACGGTCTATCACTAGAAGCTACTGTATCTGTAAAGGAAGAAAAATAACCCATGAAAGTGAAAGAAAATAAGCACCCCAAATAAACCAATAATGTGGAGTAAATCCTAATTTATCGCTGTTGATAATACACAAGATCCTTGTACAAATTACAGCTCAAATTACTCCCTCTGCGACTGTTCCCAAATTATCTATATGCTTTCCTTTTTGCCCATCTCAAAATTCTTTCCCATTTCACATCAAGGAAAATAATGTGGTTCACATTTTTCTCTCTTAAAATTTTATCTCAAGTACACAACGATTACTTCTTAAGTTGTTCGCAAGTCATATTGGGCACTTCTCTGAATTAGGAATGGATGGAATAGTACGAATAATTATTATTACTGCACAACCACCACCACCCAAAGAATAAAATATCCCCATGTCATGACTCATGGTAGTGATGGTAAGGTGGTGCCCTAATGAAGCAGCCTTTTATATTCTGCTGCCCTTGATTTCATAGCATTAAAAATGAAGAAATAGGAGTAAGAAAGGAGTAACAAGAATGGCTGCATTGATCCTGCAAAGTACAGTGAACAGGGAATAAAGAATAGTATACCTGTGTAGCAGAATGTATCACCCACCATAAACAATAGCATGGAATGTAAAACGAGAAACTGGCTTTACTGGAAACTGCTACTTGACTACCTCTGAACACTTCCAAGCACATGAACCACAATCTTTTCCTCTTGCAACAAAGGACGCAAAAAATTATAGAGTCTAACAAAAATGCAATGACTATTGATTACTTCCCGTGACTGTCAGTTTAACAAGTATGAAGTATCCAAACTCCAACTCAAGTGTTCAATATACTAAAGCAGAATCATTAAAATATACGATAGTATATTTTTGGAAATGTCCTATGTAGAACACAACGTTCAAGGCTAAGTGATCGTGTAAGCTAAACTCAGCATTGGAGCATGTGACGGGTACTTAGATTAATTCCAGGGACTCACTTCCTTCAGTATAGACTTCTGTACTTGCTTCAATGGGGTAGATGTACTTGATACCCCAAAGTACTCAATAATAGTATCATAAGCACATGACAAGTGGAAGTGGTCCAAATGGATCACACCCCACACTTAAGATCATCCTCATGTGGGAGAACTTGGGTTCAAGTCACCAAGGAAGTGACTTTGGGAGGGTTTTCTCAAATGACGATCCTCTTGCCCCCATGGGCTAGCTTGAGTAATCGCGCAATTAGAAATTTGTCTCTCCTCAAGCGGCAGCGTGGGAGTTGGCTTCTTGTTGGGAATCTGACAGTGTTTGACCAATCAGTAGCGGTTTTCCCCGGAACTGTACTAGTAACATGAGGACAAGCGAAATCAATTACTTAAGAGCAATTTCTTGTGCACGGTGGTATATAAATGATAGTTGGGAACATAGCGGATTGTTCGAGACTCAAATTTACTTATCTCCAGGGTTTGAGCTGGATTCTTGAGAGTCTAGGATTAAAAAAAAGTATCATGAGAACATTGTGTTTGTCAAGATTCCACTACCATGATCACAAACGCCTTGTTATGAACATTAACATTTTTTCTAACTCCATGTTTTCTTCACTTAAAGATGAAAAAAGGGATATATTTTTCATGAAAAAGCTTTTTCGATGTTTGGTAAGTAAAGATAGATCCTGCAAAGTTCAACATACCAATGGGATTAAAATAATAAGAAGAAGAAAGAAAGAACCATGACGCTTAAGATGTAAATTAAAGGATGTATGTGTGTAGTTTAGATTTCAAAAAAAAACTATAACCTGTCCGGTGAACAGCATAAACAGCATACAGGGTAAAACATTTTACTTTAAGAGCTCATTTGGTGACCTTGTTTTTCGGCTTATCAACCAACTTTTCACAAACACATAACTTTTGATTTTGCAAGCTGAATTGTGTAATAATAAGGAAAAGTAAGGTTGAAGTTACTTTTCTGGCTGTATTGGTTGAAGTTACTGTAGAGGCTCATTTTAGTTAATTTTTTGAATTTTTTCCTTTATTTAATTAATAAAATATATTTAAAATATAATTTTTTCATAAATCAATAGAATCAGCCAATCCAACCACTTAAGTCAAATTCATAATTTCAGCAGGATCAGCCAATGCAGCCGATTTAGGTATTACCAAACGGGCTCTAAATGTCTAATGACTGCTCTACACATTCGGGCCGAGCATTTAATGCATTCAATAAGAAATATCTATATTTGAGGATCTACAATGAATTATCAGTTATACTGCCAATAATATGAACTCAAAAAGAGTGGCAGAAGAGAACGAAGACACGTCAGTCTGCCCAATGTTTGCAGATTGCTTGCCAGCAGATAAATAATTAAGACTGCACCGATCAAGAAATTCATTTTCAAAAAAATAGTATAAAATAGCAGACACTAGGTATTGACAAAAAGGTGATAATGCCTGGTCATAAATTCATAATCTACCTCAAAACAGATTGGGGAATTAAAAATTGTCATAGGAGTGGATCAGGTAATGATACAATAGAAATACTCAATGGATTTATGGATTCCACCACAAAAGTTTCAAAAACTAACTCCCTCTTGAACTATTCATTACTTCTAGTTTTGGCGTTTACCAGATGTTTTCTTCTGAGAAGGTTTTTTAACCTTTTCAGCTTGCAACTCCAATACCTTCTCAGAAGGCTTCCTTTTTCTTCTCAACCCTTTTGCACTAGTTTCTTCTGCAGTAGAATTATCCATTGCTGCATGAAAACAAAATACAGGTGAAGCATGCTTGAGAAAACAAAACAAGATGCCATCTTAGAACATAGCAGGTGCTAAAAAACATAGCAGCAATCCAACTTAGAACAGATATAATCATAGATTCACAGATTATAAACTCAAAGCAGCCACGATGGTTAGAAATAAGGGTCCATGTGAGTCTGATAAAGTATAATCCTACCTCTGTCCCAAAATAGTTGTAGTTTTACAAAATTGCACACATACCAAAGATCCTAAAAAAATGACTCGACTGTATTTATTTAAATCTAGCATTTATGTTAGCCGGCCCCAAACTCTTTTGAGACTAAGGCTTGGATGTAGTTGTATTGAATGCCTATTTTTTTTCAATACTTATATACAGATACAATCATGCAAAAACATTTAATGTAAGAGAACATAAGCTGGGTAGTTTTGGATGAGTGGTGATAATTGTGTATTGAATTTCTAAAACAACATTTTTGGACATTTGTTTGGCTAAAGCAACAATTATTGTGAGGCAAATGGAGTACCAAATTAGGCACAATCACGACGGAGTAAATCAATCGACTTAAGAAAAAGGATGGGAGTGGTCTTGCAAGTTTTATAAATACAAAAAGTTAGTCCTTTTTATTTAGATGGAAGCCTAAATGGAGGACCATTAGTTTCCGATCTTCAACAGTTGAGGGACTACAACATCATTTAAAAAGTTGGACTTGCCCAAACCCACCAAAATTAAAAATTAGACTTAACTGACTGTTTCTCTGATGTTATGACAAGGCCTTCTAGAAGGATTAATGACATCCATTTTCAAGAGACTTACATTGTGCACAATATTTTTAAAGACTATGTGTTATACTGATAGTAATACCATCTTAAGGGACCAATATCAATAGGATTTAAATGTTTGATAACAGAAGTCATGAATCTGTGGTGTGGCCGAAATTCAAAAGGTCCAACTTTAACCCGAGTCATAGTAACGCAATCCACATCATGCTTAAACGAGCATTTCCAAATACTCCGTATCATTCAAGTACCTAACAGAGAAGTACAACTCAGTTACACATTACAAAAAAAAATAACAAAAGTATATGAAAGAGCTTTTAACAGTCTACAAAAGAATTTGATGGGTAAATGGTCTCTGCCATTGAGAGGAAAAGAAAACAAAGGCTATCAAATACACACATTAAGTTCCTTTTAGGATTTTTTGCACCCATCTCAAATCTATCACTCAAAGAAAGGTAGAGTAGCAGATCGGGACTAGAAAAAGTAGGCAATTATCGAACAGGCAGTAAATCTCAAGTTGAAAGTCTGAATGTCGAAATAAGAAACTCAGTGTATGCATATGAACCATTAGAACTTTCAGCTTTACCATTTTCAGAGGGATGATTTTGAATCGAAGTTCAAAAGAGATAACCTTTTCCAGCATAATAGTGCTTGGTGATGTGTAACTTTACGATTTTTTGATATATTATAGATCTTTGACATTGAATTTAAAAGTGAAACGAAGATCTTCAGAACATTATTAGAAAACTGGCTGCACTGATCAGCGTGTTACGGAATTAATAACAGCTAAAATTACTAATATCAATAATGGAAGTAAGTATTACCTTCAGATGGACTGGCTTCATGGTTAGCCGTCTGCCCGTTCCGCTCAGCCTTTTCGGAGTGAGGGGATCCTGACTGGTTGCTATCCGCTAGCTTTGAAGTACTACTGACACACTTGTCCTGCTGCTCAAGATGATCAGGTGTTGGATCGACTGGCAAGAAGAGAACTTCATCCTGCGATATATCAGAATCACTGAATGTTGTATCTCTCTCCACTGTCACAATGTCAACTTCTTCATCTTCATTGACATCGGGTTCTTTAGCCTGGAGCAATAAGAAATTAGAAACGTGATAATTAACAAAAACAAGAAGATTACTGCTCCATAAGTTACCTTCTCTGTTTCAGGCACCAGATCAAATTCATCTTCCCTTTCTACATACTCTTCATTCTCCTCGAGTTCTTTGAAATCTGGAGCAAATGCGCTCCAATTCTCAGTGTAATCCTTGGCCCAAATATAGGCCAATCCCGTCAATGAAACAGAAACAACAACAGGGTGGACAGGATGCCACGCTAAATCTATCAAGGCTTCCTTTGGCCCTTCAAGTATTTTAACAAGATGTCCAACCCTATCCCAGATGTAGATCTTGTGCTCTCCTTTGCTAGCAGAACCACCAACCAACCACTCACCATCACCACTAAAACATGGTGCCTTCCAGTGCACTCTGGTGATGGAATCTTGAAACTCTCTAAATAAGGTTAAAAACTTAGACCCTACAGCTTTAAGTTTCTCTACTCCTTCTAGCTCATTCAAGTTATTACTTACATCATACACGCTTTTCAGTCCATCTTTTAATGGAAGAAGATTTTCATAAATCCTGAGTGTACGATCATTAGAGTTTGTCAAAAGAAATTGCCCATTCCTGCTGAATACAATATTCTTCACCACAGCACCTCCTTGAGTGGAAATAATGCCAAGCACTTGGACGGTTTTATGGTCAATTATGAGTACTTCCCCTTTTGAATTTCCAACATAAACCAGATCTCCATACTTGTTGAAGCAAGCTGCTGTAGGAGTGAAAGGAGCAGATCCGTCTGAAAATTTATTGCGTGAAGGTGGTGCCAGTCCACTCCCTCCTGCATCAGGAGTTGAAACGGGAAGTACTTTTGTGCTTCCAGTGTTCAAGTCAACAATCATTGGAGCTGATGACAAAGGGCACACCAAGCAAGAAGTTGGAAATGAGGAACCGGGATGTAAACGAGCATGCAATGGGGTTTGTTGAAGGGTTATGCGCATAATCTTCTCTCCTTTGACAACATCCCAGAGTGTTAATGATTTATCAGCGGCTGATACAAGTATGCGGTGGCCATACTTTGACCAACATACACTAGTGATGGCAGCAAGACAGTCTTTATCCCTCAATTCTTTTGAGATTCCTCGGGTCTCAAAATCCCAAATAATGCAGCTTCCGTCAGAGCATCCAGCTGAAAAAGGCACAAGAGCCTTACATCACATACAATTAAAGCAAAACACTCACAAGGATGTTATATATGGACTATATAACGAAGAATTTCTTTTAACTCAATAGAAATAGAACTTAGAATTACATCAGGTAGATTAACGGCATATATAACATAATAAACAGAAAAGTATTACACTAGAAGTCTTTCGGTTTAGTTCAGTGGTATTTGCTCCTATTCTTGAGTGCATTTATCCTTTTCTTTGTCATTATATGCGTAGAGTTGCTCAAATTTTAAACAAAGCAGAAGTCCCATGTCGTGACACAATAAATGTGTGAAAACGGGGGAACAGGAAAAAATAATACACTGCGCCTCTGTGGTACAAAGAACATGAAGCTACCATATAAGCCAAGCAGTAAAAGATGGTGCAATGAAAATTTACATAATTGAGTCACACTTTCATTTTCTCTGCCAAATTTTTTCATTAAAATCCAAAATTTTCCCCACCCCTAAACAATCTTTACACTTTCCTTTTCATTTTCCCCAACCTGATCATTAATGCATCATATTTCTCTTTTCATTATAACTTTCACTCTCACCCACACAGTTTTCATTCACTTAACCTTTGTTCAGTCAAAATTGACTTTTATTTAAGAACGGGGGTAGTACATGCCTATCTGGCTCTACTCCTCAAAAATAAAGAGTAAAGATAAGAAATTAAGATGCAGCCTGTATCTGACACTTGTTCAATAGGATACATTACATTACATACAAAGTACTTTTCTACAACCAAACAACAAAACAATAATCTTTCTTGTGAACTATACCAGCAAGAAGAGTTCCCCTCCGGTTAAATGCAATGCATTTCATAACCCCGTGCTCCAAATACTCTTCTATCACCTCTGGAAAATCCCCCTGCAGTGGATCTTAAATCAAAGAAAAAAATAACATAAGACTAATGATTTAATAGAACAACATAAATCAGTGCAAACCAACCCCACAAATATAACCAAATTAAAGAACGGGAGTAAAGAACGCAAGTTGAGCATAAACGTATCTGCAAAAAGAAATCATTGTTCTATTACCTATAATTGGGGCATTCATTGGGCAATATTAGAGCTAGGACAAGCTTCATAAACCAAGTGTGTCTAGCATCAGAATGGAGTTCGGACGTTTAGATTAGGCGAACCATAAAAGTTTCAAGAGGATAATTGAAAGCTTCTCCGTGCATATACGCGCCAACAAGACCAGATTTTGTAAATAGAAACAGGGAAAAAAAGTTACTGATTTCTCCGCCGGCGGGAGTAGGCGGAAAGAACTCCACCGCCGACTAGCAGCACAGCTGAGTCCAAAAAGCAAGAATCTTTGGATGATATCGGGCCAACGAGCTCCGATGGTGATTTGGTGGTTGGGTCGGGTTTAACAAGAATTCCGAGGGAGGATGTGAGCGTGTGACAGGATGAAAGAGTTGGTTACTTTGTTGCTTATTTTATGACAATCTAAATCCACTTCCAATTATCAAACCCAAAAATTTTAAAACTTTAACTTTAGGGGCGTTTGGTAGGAGGTAAAATAATTACTTTACATGCGAAGTGTAAGGACGTAAAATGTTTACACTGTTTGGTTTGATTATATAATGCAAACTGTAGGACACTTTTTTAAAACATTTCGCATAGTACCATGTAAAGTATTTTACGTGAGGGTGGTAAAATACTTTGCACGCCTTTAATGAAGCACTGCACCGACTTTGCGTGCAATTTAAAAATAAATTACACACCTGACCAAACAATGTAATCTATTTTACATGCAAAATGATTGTTTACCTATACTTTGCATGCAATCACTTCGCATGCAAAGATTTAATGTGTAAACTACCAATAGTAGACGAATAGGGTTAGGAAGGGTGGGACCGTGCATCTCCTCTGTGTTAATATATCTAGGTTTGACACAGTATTTAAGGGAAAAGTAGTAAAAATATAGAATAGTATAGAAAAAAGTAGGAGAGATGATAGAAAGAAGCATGAGAGATGATAAAAAATAAGAAAAGGAAAATAAAAGGGAAAAGGGTCAAATAAGCCCTTGAACTTACATAAAAAAGTCAAATAAGCCCTTACATAGGAGGTTATGTCCGGCCGTCGCCATTTGGGACAGTTCCCGATGAAATTTTTTGATGAAATTTTTTGAGCAACTTATTTATTAATTCTAGTTTACTCATACCAAATTTCAGCTAACAATTCATTCGGGAAGGCATTCAAATGAATTCTTGAAGATAACTGCGCAGCTATCTTCAAGAATTCATTTGAATGTCTTCGCGATTGAAGTTTTAGCTGAAATTTGGTATGAGTAAACTAGACTTCATAAATAAGATGCTTAAAAAAAATCATCAAAAAATTCCACCGGGAACCGCCCCAAATGGCGATGACCGGACAAGGCCTCCTATATAAGGGCTTATTTGACTTTTTTTTTGTAAGTTCGAGGGTCTATCTGACCCTTTTCCCAAAATAAAATGTAGAAAAAATAAGGGTAATTGAGTAATTTTAAACAAAAAAATACTAAAAGGGAAAGTGTAACACATATTTCAATACAAGTTGAGTAGAAATTAACACATACTTAATATTCTATGTAGTACTACATAAAAAACATCAAAAAATCAGAACACAAGGAATACACTTTTCCAAAGTTCTAATTACTTAACAAACATCAAAATTGTTGTTATTTGATAGTAATGAAGGTTGGTTAATCATAGTAGTTAGCACCAAACATCTAGTTCAAGTCCCTCAAAATATAAAAATGCATCACGTTTACATATACAGATAATATGTAAGCATCATTGTATTATCCTAGTAGTATAAAATATGGAAAAATATGTACATATGACCATAAGTCAACATATTTCTGAGAATATGACCTTAGAAGTTTTTCCCATGAACATGACTAATCGTGTGTTATTAAAAATGGACATATTAAAAACAAAAGCATTAAAAGACAAAGATAGCTTCCACATAAAGGCGCATGAGCGGGTTGTTGGATACGAAACTCTAGATGTGAAGATTTCGTATTTATGGCAGTTAGAGAGAAAGACGGTCGAACAACTTTGGTAAAAGGTTCAATTAAGGAAGGAGTTCAAACATTTTGGTTCTAAATTGCCAAAGAAGCCCACTCGCCTACCCCGTTGTCGTATCTGGAAAATCAAGTAACACCGAGAAGCAGTGAATCCGCAAAACGGCGAATGCAAGAGAGAAAAAGAGAACAGGGAGAGTCGTCGGGAAAAGGAAAGGAAAAGAGTATGAGCTCGTAACGGTCGACAGTGTGATGAGTGTCGTTTTGATCAATATAATGTTTTTCGTGTTTGTCAAACTCGTGAATGCCTGGTGCGTGTTCTGTTTGTATAAATTAGTGTGTGTACTGGTGTTTTGGCACTATTTGTCGTGAAGAGAATTGCATCCCATTGTGTAATTCTCAAATGTGTGTATGAATCGTTATTTGCCTTGAAGAATAATGTGGTCCAATCTGTTTGTGCACTATGAATCGTTATTTGTCATCTTAGTATGTCGTATATGGAATGATTTTGATTAATACAATGCATTGAAAGAAAGATTAGTTACTTGGAATATAGAGCAGACTGGGTGTAGTAATTTGTTGGTTTTAACAATATTATGTAATCACTACTACAAAAATGACATACTACGTCATACATTTAACGTCGGTTCTTGAATAACCGTCTTCAAAAAGTATGACACGACTATTTTACGTCAGTTTCAATAAAAACTGACGTTGTATGTTTTTAAATGATATTTTTATTTTTTTTATTTTCTAACTCTAACGGCGGGTTTAGTAAGAACTGCCCTGATATCTGATTTTCGCGCAAACTGTCGTAGCAAATAAACGTCCTTCCAATTTTAAGAGGAGTCCCTTCCTAATTATCCTAACCGCTGCTTCTCTCCAAACCCTATCGCATTGTCGCTACAAGTCTTCATCGCTCATCTCCACTGCACAGATCCAAGCCTCTATTATCCACTTATCCCTGTTTAGATCCAGACTCCACCGCTCCTCCACTGCAGCAAACATATCGTCGCATATCACCTTCGACCTACACTGTGATGCAAGCTCCGATGACGATGCAAGCCTCGACGACGACCTTTGGATCTGCCACGACAACCAGGTCTACTTCTTATGAATTAATTTTATTTTAAAAAACCCCTCTTAATCATCCGTATCATCGAAAGATATTTGGCCCAGCTCCAGGTTAAAACCTTCTATCGTCTCTGCTCATGAATTCGGAAAGCTCCAGGTTAAACCCTTCTCCCGTCTCTGCTCATGAATTCGGAAAGCTCCATGTTAAATCCTTCTCCCGTCTCTGCTCACGATACATTTCTCTTCTATTTTATCCAAGTACTCTTGGGATTGTTTTGGTGAAAATGTCCTCATAGGTTATAGTGTCAATCTGGGCTTCATCACCGGTATAGTTTACTATTCTTATATGATATATTTCAACCTCTATGGTACTTTTTATTGTATATTAAATTAAATTTTTGAAAGCCTAGGTTTTTGTTAAGATTAGGTCTCAATGTAACACTATTTTTGGAGCATAATATTTGTATTTATCCCCAATTTCGCTTGTTACAGGAATCATAGAGGTTATGAGATGGGAAGATGAACATTGATGTCTATTAGTTTAGTGTGAGAAGATGGATAATAAAATTGCATAGTTTTGGGCACAAATTATCACTGTCATTTTGCAGAGCTTTGAGAAAGAAGGTGTAGTTCTGAAATTGTTTGTTTGAATCTAGTATTGGATTAGGATTTGCCTGAATTAACATTTAGTCAAATAAAAAAGTTTAAGTATCTTTGACACAGATAATTGAAAAATGAAAACAAGGCTTTGATACTTTGTATCTTTCCCATTGAAATTTCTAGATTACTAATTAAGTTTGACTAAAGTTGAAGTTGACTTTCCTAGTTATATTTAATTTAGCATTAATAATTAAAATTCACATATTTACAAATTAAATTACAAGTCACACTAAATGTAAAAGTCTTTTTGTAAGTAAGTACGTACTTTGAATGCGATAAGAAACTAATACATAAAGTCTTAGATTAGAAGAGAACTAGATTGACTGCAAAATAAAGAGTATAACTTTACAATGAGAGTACCATGATTAATGAAAGCTAATGATCAACTTGATCAAAGCTGATGACATGTCAAGTAATGATTAGTAGTAAAAATGTGAAATCATATGCCAAAAAAAGCTCAATATTGTGTTAATGTTAAACAATGGTAATATACTTTGGACTATTTGATTAATAATGATCAATACCTTTCTTTATTTTTAGTACAATAGCTGGTTGGTTAACACTTTAAATGTATTTGGCTAAATGTAGGTTCAGAGTGGAGGGGCAGGCATCTTTTCTTCAATGGGTTTGGAATTGTGAGATGCTAAGAGCATTCAAATCGCAGTTAGTGGTGATTTCTTATTGGTCAGTTTGCTCATTATGCTAGTGGTGATTTCTTATTGGTCAGGTTGCTCGTGAGATGTTGGGTAGTGATTTCATTTTTGCTAACCCAATTGAAATACTCCCTGCTCGTCTAAAAAGAAAGGCACTGCACCTTTATCCACACAAACTAACAATTCCAGTTGGAGGTCTGGCCCAAGAGAATCTTGCCACTCAATCCCCAGATTCTGTATTTTCGCCACTTGGTTCAGAAAGTGAAGGCCTAATGAATTTGCACGGTTAATGGTAGCATAAGTATCTTTCACTAGGATTTGGTGACAGTTCTTTGCATTTATTTTACCTTCTTAACATGTGACTTGATGGTTGAAGAGATGATATCTTTGTCCAACAGAATACTACTATTCCTAGTCCAAATGAGCAGCCTTTCTTGGTAGTGTATTGTTTCTCTTTTATCTTTGTAAATTATCTATGGACCACAAGCTGTGTTGCTCTTGGTGTTCGTATCAGAACATAAATAACTCTAAGGACATGTTTAGTTCACCGGTTATTAAACGGTGCTTATTAAGACCCGTGTTAATAAGTGGCGCATAAAATAAACAATGTTGTAAGACCGTGTTTACTTCAAACGGTTTAAAACACCGCTTAACATTAAAATGTCCAAAATAACCCTATACATATATATACACACAAATATTCATGAACACAAGTATATAATATAATATGTGTACCCATACCCCCTAACCCCTTACCCACCCTACCTTACCCCGACCCCAATCATCCCCTAACCCCTACCCCACCCCGACCCTACACCTACCCGACCCTACACTTACCCCACCCTACCTGTCCCCACCCTACTGCGACCCTACCCCCGACCCCATAGGCCCTTACCACATCGACCCCACCCTGACCCCACCTTACCATACCTTACCCCAACCCCTACCCTACCCCGATTACCACTACCCTACCTACCCGATCCCACCCTACCCCTACCCTACCTACCTGCCGCAACCCTACCCGACCCCACCC